GCGATAAATTACACACCAGAGCGCCAGCCATCCGCAACGGAGAAGCCGCAGCCAATCCGTGGACAGCGTGAAGGTCAGAGCTCGCGCTGTATTACACGAGACAGACGGCGAGACAAAGCGACTCTCGGTAAGCAGGAACCAGTACCTCACCACCCTGATGATGGAAAATACGATAGTTCCGAAATGTCAACGCCAATTTAATGTGGTCCCTGGAAGTATCTTGTTTCCCTCTTCTTCCTTATCATCTTCTTTGGGGATGATGAACGGAATAATATATATATATATATGTTGCCTACCATGTGTCTGATCATTTGTAACTTCGGTCCAATATTTTGATTGATGGAAAAAAGCATGAGCAATCTGAGGAAGGGCCCAGTGGCGCTGAAGACGAGGCAGGCCCGACTGAACTGCTCCAGCCCGTTCGAGCCAAATTCATAGCGCGCGTTCAGAGCCTGCAGGATGGTGCCAAGGAGGAAACACACGAACACCACCATGCCGTATTGGTTGCTGTGACCGAGGAAGAAACCCCGGTTGGCCTGCCTATCCGAGAGCATCTGGGCGTAAAAAAAACACGGTTTTAAACGGGCGTTAAAAAGCTCCCTTAGAATTTGTCGAGTTGCCGCAAGTTTTTTTAAGTACTGAGCGAAAGTAATTCAAGTAGTGGACTTTATAAATCCCTTGTCCCAGTCTTATGTCTTACGGAACCGGTGAGAAGGGAAATTTTATGCGTGGGGCAATAGGATGGTTAGGCAAGGAAGGCTGTTGAAATAAATGCAAAATGTCGGTCAGTTTAGTCGGAGTAGGGCGCGTAAATCGAAAAAGTGGGCGGAAAGCCGCAATTAATAAGTGTAAGCTAATTGAATTAACAGCCATGAGTGAATTGTCACAGGTCTGGAACCAGCGGGAGTAACAGCCACTGAAAATGAAGGACAATGGTTTGCAGTGGGATAAGCTGTGTGTTTGAATACGCGATCAGCATGAACGTTGAAAGCAAAGTTAACGAAGAGGGAAATGAACGAGTAACGAGGTCTTACTGTCGCAGAGGAAATTTAGAAAGGAAACGAGAAGAAGGAACAGAGAAGTTCCCAGAGAGTGCGGGTTAGGTATTATACATGCATATTGGAAGGGTAATGTATGTGCGATATGAAGTTAATTTAAATACAATTGATTGGTTCATACACATCATTATAATTCCTGAATAAACTAAATGAATTAAAGTAATGCTTGTAGTTGTATCAAATAGCCTCGACTTTTTCCGTGGTGGAGTTGTTAGAGACTGCGTAAATGTAAAGCTTCATGATATCATATTTTAGGTGTTTAGTCCGACAGGGTGTTCTGTCCGAAATTCGAATACTTTTTTAAACCGTATTTTTTCCCTTCTTGACCTACTTTCTGTATAATCATCAGTTCAAAAATGAAACATGCAATAGCAATCACGAATTTAAATTTCGAATTTTATAACATACTCTTTGTTGGGTTTAAGACTGAAACATTAAGTCGATCTGGTATTGAAAGAGAATTTAAGCTATTTATTGAGCGTAGAAACGAACGAAATATAGTGTAAAATTATTTTTTCTATTTGGGTTGCAATTATTTATTTCTATTCACTACCACTTGGAGCTTAGGTCGCGGAAAAAATTCTGGAACAAACCTCATAAAATCTGCTAAAATTTGACTCTATAATTACATATATGATCATATTGTCCCCTTGTTAATGGTAAATTATCACGAGTAATTCTAATAATGTCGCAGCAAATCAAAGTTTTAAGTAAATAGAAACCCATGCGTGTTCAGACCGAGAAGCACGCAGGCATTCCTCGAAATAAACACTTCCATAGAGTAAGTACGCTCAAAATAATTCCAAGAGCTCTACTGCCGATACCTGAAACGTTTATTCTTTGTCGTACTTCTAAATTAATAGGCCTCGTCCTTGTCAAAAACATATTTTCTGAACTTTCTACATCCAACTGTTTAACCACTATAGATTTTGTACAATAATCCTACCTATAATATTTCGTACATTTTCGAGGATACGCGAACCCGAAGTTCAATTTACTACTGATCATTTTTGCCCTTAAATAAGTACGTGTAAGCAACTTTTAGTTAGGGGATCCCCTACCGCACCAACGTGGTACGTACGCACAATGAGTACATCTAGTCTGTTTTGCAGTGCAGAACCTCAAAATAAAGTTATTTCCGGCTGAAAATCCTGCCCGACGTATATTACGAAGGCTGTCCCCTTTCTCTGAGCCACGTACCCGTGTCCACTTCCTCCCTTGAATGCTGGCCGCCCTCCTATGCTCATTATTTTCACTCAATTGCTGAATACTGCCCCCAGTCCCCCGGTTCGGGTCCCTTGGTTCTTATCACCTT